AGATAGAAAAGAAATTAATATCTAGTAAGGTTTCAGTTTTGGATTTTGCAAACACTTACATGTACATGTATATCAGCCTGCTAAGATAAAGTAATGCCAGAGTTTATTCACCCCCATTTAAGTGCAGATAAAGATACCCTAGTGTATTTTTGAAATAGAAAGACTAAAGTTTCCAAAAATCTAAAGGCAGAAAAATATGACCAGATTTGTGAGCTGTCTGCGCCAGAGTAAAAGCCAATTTCCCTCGTTGTACAATTTTCACTGAGAAACTTTCCATACTATGCAAAGATCTCCTGATCAAAACTTGTGCGAACTCTTTGTTCCAGATTCCAAATGTATAGATCCCCATTAATCTAAAAAGTTGGCAAGCATGAATTCCACATCTGTCAGTATTTATGAATGTACTTACAGTTTGTGTTAAGAGTTTTAGTATTTTAGGGCAAATCAAAAGGATGACAGCACTAAAAAAAACATTTAACTCCAGCATGTTTTCAATTTATGGTTTATGGCATTTAAATCTTTGTTTGATCCTCACCAGCTCCACCATACTTCAGTTCAATTCACCCATCACTTACCAAGGCAATTTATAAAATGCCTGAATTGAAAATGATGTAGAATTCAAAGACTTTGCCATGAAAATCACTTCTCCTTCTAATGCAAATAAACTCATTTTCAAAAGAGAGGTTTTACACTTAGCATAATTTTGTACGTGAAGTTGTTTATGCGCCTTGATATGGAACTTTTTCATGAATTTGGCTATTACATAGTCAAAGGTAATTAATGAAATAATAACCTGGTTTTCGCTTAACACCAAACACTTCTATTCTCATACACACAGCACCATGGTATGCACTTGGCAAGATTCGTAGGTAGTGTGCTTCAACACTTTCATAAAGAACATGCTTCACCTCTGAGGCTCTGTCACTATTTCCCTCAAAGGTCTGAAATCAAAACCAACAGCTAAAAACTTAAAGGTGTACATCTATTTCCAGAAAAATATGTAAATAAAAATAATAACAAACTTCTAATAGTAATAATGGTCGAGTATCTTGGTTTTTTTTCTTCTCATCTTCGCGCTCCTCCTCCCTCCTTTACACAATCAAACCTCGTTTAAATTAGGTTTTAGAAAGTCTAATGACATTCATTTTTGACATCTATCCTCATTTTCCATTGGACACCTTGATGATCTTAGGGATGATGTACGAACAAAAGCTTTTCCTTGTATTCTTCCTCTACAGAGTGACAAGAAAAAACAGCTCTGACAATTTTCTCCATTAAGTGTTTCGTGAAAATCAAAGTTCTTCACAGACCAATGTTCTCAGCCAGATATCATTAGGAATGTATCATCACTCTGAAGGAAGTGTCAAACAAAGAGGCAGTCAAATTTTTATTTATTTTGCAGACAACTGCAAATATCAATAAAAGCCAAATGACATGATCTTTGACACGGTACCTTAATTTGTCCATTTTCTCTGTAGACCATCCAAGTTGTTCCATTATTGGAAAATTGAAGTGTATAGTTTTTCACCCAATGATCTGCTTGAGAATTCCCTTGGATGGAAACGGCACAGATGATATAGAGCGTCTGTAGATCAATCTGTACATACGGGTTAGTGTCACTTGGTCTTGCACACCACGATGATCCTGATGTGTAGTTCAGTCGACCATTCTTGGCTGGTGTGCTGGCATTTTGAACTGAAGAAGCGGTTATGTTACGATCTGAAATTCTCTCATTTTCTATTCCCAGATCCAGATCAACACAGTCAGCTGAGAAGAAAGAAAAGAAATTAGAAAGCACCCATAGATCCCCCTTAACAAACCTCCAGATTTAGGGCTGTAAATACGGCAAGATCTTTCATAAACTGAACAGTTTTTGGGTGAGTAAATGGTAGTTAAAATAGAGGTGATGCAAATTCACGAGAGATGC